AAATTGGGGGGTGTGTGCCGATGAGTGCCAGTCAATATTTTCGTAACGTGATTAATTATGCATAACGTTTAAAAATTCCCGCAGATTTGACTTCGTCTGAAAATAAAACCGCGCAACTGCATAGCTTACGTGGACAGTTCCAACGTTTGAATCCTGGACTACCTGCAAGCGGGCTGCGTTTTAGCTGCCGTACTCACCGTCAAACCAATATTTTGACCGAAGTCAAGGTCTGTTATAAACCCAATGGTCAGTACAAAGGTTGTGCAGAGAATATACAAGAAAACTGCCCAAATTCTTTTGCGATCAAGGGTTCTTACTAATCTCTTTCCTTAAATTAATTTATATTTCCTATCATACTTTTGTTGGAATTCATTCTCTTTTACATGCATCTGCCAAAGTATTGGAGTACAATCTTTGCCGTTTATGATTATTAAGATTAGATAGAACAGCTATTTAATCATATAACGTTCCTCAAATGGAGATAAGTACATGAAGCAACCTGTTCGCGTTGCCGTTACTGGCGCTGCTGGTCAAATCGGTTATAGCCTATTATTCCGTATCGCTAGTGGCGAAATGTTAGGTAAAGACCAACCAGTTATTCTGCAATTGTTAGAAGTTCCTTTTGAGAAAGCTCAAGCTGCGCTTAAAGGCGTAATGATGGAATTAGACGACTGTGCTTTCCCATTATTGGCTGGCATGATCGGTACTGATGATCCAAAAGTTGCATTTAAAGATGCTGACTACGCGTTATTGGTTGGTTCACGTCCACGTGGTCCAGGTATGGAACGTGCTGACTTATTGAAAGTGAACGGTGAAATCTTCATCGGTCAAGGTCAAGCACTAAACGAAGTTGCTAGCCGTGACGTTAAAGTACTTGTTGTAGGTAACCCTGCAAATACAAATGCTTACATCGCAATGAAATCTGCTCCAGATCTTCCAGCGAAAAACTTCACAGCAATGTTACGTCTTGACCACAACCGTGCGTTGACTCAAATTGCTCAAAAAGCGGGTGTTGCTGTAGCAGACATCAAAAACATGACTGTTTGGGGTAACCACTCTCCAACGATGTATGCTGACTACCGTTTTGCAACTGTAAACGGCGAAAGCTTAAAAGACAAAATCAACGATGCTGACTGGAACGCGAATGTATTCCTTCCAACTGTTGGTAAACGTGGTGCTGCGATTATCGAAGCGCGTGGTTTGTCTTCAGCTGCTTCAGCTGCGAACGCTGCTATCGACCATATGCGCGATTGGGCTCTTGGCACAAATGGCGAATGGGTAACGATGGGTATTCCTTCTGACGGTTCTTATGGTATTCCTGAAGGCGTAATGTACGGTGTTCCTGTAACTTGCGAAAATGGCGAATACACACGTGTTGAAGGCCTAGAAATCGATGCGTTCAGCCGTGAGCGTATGGACAAAACTCTTCAAGAACTTGAAGAAGAGCGCGCAGCAATTGCTGACATGCTTAAATAATTAAAAACTGATCTGTTCAAGATCTGTTTTGAAAAAGCACTCCGTTTGGGGTGCTTTTTTTATATGGGTAGTGTGTTGAACAAAAAA